CGTCCCACGCTGCCTCCCACAAACCCTCGTCTCGTGCACCTTTCCTTCCCCTCCCTGTAGCCGCCGCTGCCGCCGCCTACTCGCGTCCGGGGGAAAAAGGTCGTCTCGCCATGGCCTCAGAGACGGAGACGTTCGCCTTCCAGGCGGAGATCAACCAGCTGCTCTCGCTCATCATCAACACCTTCTACTCCAACAAGGAGATCTTCCTCAGGGAGCTCATCTCCAACTCCTCCGATGTGAGTTTCACCCCCCATCCCCGACGGCCCGCTCGTGCTCCTTCCTACCTTTGCGGTTTTAGGGTAGAACTAGATCTGTGCGCTAAACCCTCGCGCCGTCCGATGGGTAGATCGGAGCTTTTACGGCCTTGCGCCGCGTGTTGACTTGATTTGAATCTGGTGGTGGTGGGTTATGTAGGGTTTTGCACTGTTGCTGGCGGCGCTTTTACATCCTCAACTTTGTTGGAGCAGACGTCGGCCATAAATCTAGTTGGATCTGTTTTGTATCTCGTATCTAGTTATTATTATTATCTACATGCTCTGTGACTACTGTCAGGGATCCGCTGTCGTTATGTTTTAGTAGTTGAGAACGTTATTATCCATGCAAAGTTTCCCTATTCTAAAAGTATATGTTAGGGATGATTTGATCAGTAAATGGCATTAGTAAATTGTCTGTATAATTCGTGTTTATAATTTATTAATTCAATACTGTCCCTAGTCTAGAATCTGCTATGGGCGCTGGGTGGTGACAAAACAGTGACATTATATACTTGCTGATACTGTGCACGTTTCCCTCAATTAATTAATTTCCTAGACCTAGTGCTACACCCCTACTGCATGATTAATCAAGTTGTGCCATTAAACTGCAGTAATTTTTGGAGTTCTTTTGCCCTTATGCTTTGATGTGTGAATCAAGTCACTAAACTTATGTTTCTCTGTTTTTTGTTTTCAAACAGGCCTTGGACAAGATCAGGTTCGAGAGCCTGACTGACAAGAGCAAGCTGGATGCCCAGCCCGAGCTCTTCATCCACATTGTTCCCGACAAGGCCAACAACACACTGACCATCATTGACAGCGGCATTGGTATGACCAAGTCGGACCTTGTGAACAACCTTGGTACCATTGCACGGTCTGGCACCAAGGAGTTCATGGAGGCGCTGGCAGCTGGTGCCGATGTGTCCATGATTGGCCAGTTTGGTGTTGGCTTCTACTCGGCCTACCTTGTCGCTGAGAGGGTCGTTGTGACCACCAAGCACAACGATGATGAGCAGTACGTGTGGGAGTCTCAGGCTGGTGGCTCCTTCACCGTCGCACGTGATACCTCTGGGGAGCAGCTTGGCAGGGGTACAAAGATGACCCTCTACCTCAAGGATGATCAGGTATAGCAGAAATTTACTTAGTTCATGTTTTTGCATGTTGTTAATAAGTCTCTATTGTCATACAGCCATGGTTGTTTATTTAATGTTTAGCTTATGTAGCACTTCTGGATGACACTACTAATGCACTTTGGCTATAGTAGTTGTATTAAAATCACATGGCTATTATGTGGATAGTGGGTTCAGTTTTTAAGCTGCTATGGAAATTGTGCCGAAGTTCTGTTGGGTTGACTAAATATAGAAATTTCAACCTAAAATGACTGCTGATGGAGACAAGTGCTTACCAATTTTTTTTCAGTCATGGAGTTCATTGCCTTAATTAAGGTTTGATTGGTTCATCCTAGGATTGCCAGGAACTAGCTTACAGTCCTTTATTATTGCTGCTAAATGATAATAGTTGCCTTGATTAATAGGAAAAATGTTTGTTTTTGTTTTAAATCTGGTTTGCATGTATTCTGACTTAGCATTGATATATGGAATTAAGTTGAATGACTGATGTACAAAAATGATAATACCTGTTCTGTTTTGAGTTGGTTAACTGAACATTTGGTAATTAGGTTCAACCATTGGTGCACTGGTATTAAAATATACTCCGTAGATGTATTCACTTTTGCTGTTGCACTGAACATTCAAAGAGTTTGTAAATGCATGTTTGGATATCTGCTACTATTTTTATCATTTGGCTAGTTATAAGTCTGTACTCTTCCTTACAATATGCTTATATTTTCTGCAGTTGGAGTACCTTGAGGAGCGCCGCCTCAAGGATCTGATCAAGAAGCACTCAGAGTTCATCAGCTACCCAATCTCTCTCTGGATTGAGAAGACCACTGAGAAGGAAATTTCTGATGATGAAGATGAGGAAGATAAGAAGGATGAGGAGGGCAAGGTTGAGGATGTTGATGAGGAGAAGGAAGAAAAGGAGAAGAAAAAGAAGAAGATCAAGGAGGTTTCTCATGAGTGGCAGTTGGTCAACAAGCAGAAGCCAATCTGGATGAGGAAGCCTGAGGAGATCACCAAGGAAGAGTATGCTGCTTTCTATAAGAGCTTGACCAACGACTGGGAGGAGCATCTTGCCGTGAAGCACTTCTCTGTTGAGGGTCAGCTTGAGTTCAAGGCTGTCCTCTTTGTGCCTAAGAGGGCCCCCTTTGACCTCTTTGACACCAGAAAGAAGCAGAACAACATCAAGCTCTATGTGCGCCGTGTCTTCATCATGGACAACTGCGAGGAGCTGATCCCAGAGTGGCTGAGCTTTGTCAAGGGCATTGTTGACTCTGAGGATCTTCCCCTCAACATCTCCCGTGAGACCCTCCAGCAGAACAAGATCCTCAAGGTCATCAGGAAGAACCTTGTCAAGAAGTGCGTTGAGCTGTTCTTTGAGATTGCTGAGAACAAGGAGGACTACAACAAGTTCTATGAGGCCTTCTCCAAGAACCTCAAGCTTGGCATCCATGAGGACTCCACCAACAGGACCAAGATTGCTGAGCTCCTGAGGTACCACTCCACCAAGAGCGGAGATGAGCTGACCAGCCTGAAGGACTACGTGACCAGGATGAAGGAGGGCCAGAATGACATCTACTACATCACTGGTGAGAGCAAGAAGGCTGTGGAGAACTCTCCGTTCCTTGAGAAGCTGAAGAAGAAGGGGTATGAAGTCCTGTACATGGTGGATGCCATTGATGAGTATGCTATTGGCCAGCTGAAGGAGTTTGAGGGCAAGAAGCTCGTCTCTGCCACCAAGGAGGGCCTGAAGCTTGATGAGAGCGAGGATGAGAAGAAGAAACAGGAGGAGCTCAAGGAGAAGTTCGAGGGCCTCTGCAAGGTCATCAAGGAGGTGCTGGGCGACAAGGTGGAGAAGGTGGTGGTCTCTGACCGCGTGGTGGACTCCCCCCTGCTGCCTCGTCACGGGTGAGTACGGCTGGACTGCTAACATGGAGAGGATCATGAAGGCCCAGGCGCTCAGGGACTCCAGCATGTCTGGATACATGTCCTCCAAGAAGACGATGGAGATCAACCCGGAGAACGCCATCATGGAGGAGCTGCGCAAACGTGCGGAGGCCGACAAGAATGACAAGTCTGTCAAGGACCTTGTCATGCTGCTGTTTGAGACGTCGCTGCTCACCTCTGGCTTCAGCCTCGACGACCCCAACACCTTCGGCAGCCGCATCCACCGCATGCTCAAGCTGGGCCTGAGCATCGATGAGGACGAGGCCCCTGAGGCTGACACTGACATGCCCCCTCTGGAGGACGACGCTGGCGAGAGCAAGATGGAGGAGGTCGACTAAAGCCTTACCCTGAGTCCTGGCCGAAGAGCGAGTTAGCTTAGCTTGTCTGGTTATCGTGTCTGAACATCTCGAGTTATCGCATTATTTTGTGTGGTTTACTTTTACTAGCCTGCAATCTATGGGGCTGGATGCGTGTGTTATCGAACTTAGTACGTTAATGTCGGTATAATAGTGCTGCTATTAATTTTTTTTGTTTTTGTTTTGCTTGCTCGGTTTTTCATCTGCTAGCTGCTCATCGCAGGTAAAAGCTTTCTTAGTACACTCATTCACATGTGAACTGGAACGCATCGTCAAATTCCTCTGCTCCTGGATCCATGTCATGAATTGGCCCAAAGTATGTGCGGAGGAAATGCCCCTCTTAAAGGATGCAGTAATTTTTAGGAAGTTAAAAAGAGATAGCTTCTTAGTAAATGCACTCAAATAGACATCAGAGGTAGTTTCTTAGTAACTGCACTCAAAATATTAGACAACAGAGATTGCTTCTTAGTAAATGCACTCAAATCAACCTGTATATACTTATCTAAACTGCAAGTGTAACGAGTATACTCTTGCCTTTTTGCAGTGTCCATTTGTCATTAGACAGTTCTGAAACTAGTTAGAACTGTTCGCTAAAAGGATTTCTAGTACCAACAGCTTACTAGCTCCATATTTGCTGGTAAATAATATGTAATCAAATCTACCATGCTAAAGCCTCTGTAAGAACTCAAAAAGTCAAACCTATCCTATTGCATTGAGCTGGATGCTCCACCTGATATTGTGAGGTTTACTTGTATACAGATACTTAGGCGATGTCCAAGGATATCTAAAATGTAGCAATCTCACAGGAATTGTGTACAATTTTCATGAAATAGTTAAATCACTGGATCCCAGACATGGCATATTTGATGTTCGAGGCGTAAAAAGATTCGCCAACTGCTTGCCCAAAATGAACGTTGCCAGAAATTTGGAGGGAAAGTTTGACTCGCAGCAATTAGCCCTCAGTAAAGATGCAGTAATTTTCTGTGAGATAAACAGGGACGTTTTTTTTTTTGAAAAAATAAATTTAGTAGTCTTTCACCCCAAATTGAAGGTAACCCAGTGTTCTATTCAGAGAAAAGGGGGATAAACTGAGGGTTCGCCAAGATCATACTTAAGATTACGCAAACACATGTGGTCCAATTTCTTAAAACTTGTAAGCACCATCTTAAGAAACACATGATGCTTTAGAGAAGCATCCTGAGGAGGCCATATATTTTTTGACGGGTAGCAAGCCATATATTTGAACTGGAAATGTGCCGGGCTCCTGATTAGACATAATAGATGGTAATATGTGGCCTGTTAGTCAAATCAGGAGAAATTTGAAAACATCATATCAAGACTTTAACTGTAATGTACTGTCTTGACTCTTGAGAGATGAGATTACTTGGAGAAGGTAGGACGGCCTGAATGAAATGCTGGAGATGAAAGCAATCATATTCCGTGAGGAAATCATAAGGACCCTTGCATATGTACCCTTGTGCAGTGGCATTTGTTATTATTGCCTTATTGGTCCATGGTTTTGTAAGAACTGAAACAGACATTGTTGAGGACAATACAGACAAATGAATAAAAATCAGTTCTGTGGTAGGAGAAAGACAAATCTTCTGCTTTTTGTAGGATGTAGGACACGATGATTTCAGGCAGCTCTGAAACTAGAACTGCTTCTCTGAAACTAGAACTGCTTCGTTAACAACAATTTCTAGTCCCAACAACTTATTGGGGTGTATATACTCTTATGTGGTATGCGCTACAATTGCCGGTAAAGAATGTGATCCAATAAGATGTTCAAGCCTCTCCAACTGCAAGAACTCAAACTAAATATATTGAGCTGGATGATCCATCTAATTTCCTGATATTATACTTCTGCATAAAACCCCTTGCGTTTGGGGCATCAGCACATTTGCCAGCAGCGGCATAAATGTCAGATATCAGAACATGGCAGCCAAGCTGCTTTGTATTCTGTAATAGGCGCGAATGAGAAATCTGGGTGTGTGGTGGTGTGTGTTTGAAAGAGCCCACTCTTACCCCCTTTCTTTTTTCTTCTTAACCCATCGACACGCAGCTCTCCGCGTGTTTGAGGAATAAAAGGGTTGCTTTGCATTGAGGTTGAGGATCCTGCTCCGTACTCTTTCAGCTACATCAAGTCTCTTGTGCACTCGACAGGCACCTAGTAGCGCAACCAGAAGCTTGACATCTGGGGCCATTGGCATGCCCCAGATCAGCTCCTCTGCCTCATCAAGCAGCCCTGCTCGGCCAAGTAAGTCAATCATGCAACCATAGTGCTTGAGCTCCGGCTGCACACCACAAGCAGATGACATGCTCTGAAAGAACTGCCGACCCTCATCAACCAGCCCAGCATGGGCACAAGCTGTCAGCACACTGACGAATGTTATGTCATCCGGCTTTTCTTCTGACATTTTCATCTGCTCAAACACATCAATGCATCGCCGAGCATCACCGTTTCCGCCAGTCCAGTGATGAGTGCATTCCAGGCGGAGACATTCTTCTGGTCCAAGGAATGGAAAATTTTGGTAGCCATGTCTGTTCTCCCACACTTGGCATACATGTCTATGAGAGCAGCACCAAGATTGAACTCATTGTCGAGCACCATCTTGTGCTTATCAATGAAGACGTGAGCCCACCTCCCTTCCTCGAGAGCAGTCAAATGTGCGCATGCTGAGAGCACGCTCACCATGGTCACCTCATTAGGCCGGATATCGCCATGGCTCTGCATTGTCCTGAATAGCTCAAGGGTTTGCGATATCGCCCAGCCTGTGCATACCCAGAAATCATGCACGTCCAAGAAACGACATCCTTCTCTGGCATCACATCAAACAACTCCCTCGCACCATCCATCTCTCCATTCATCACGTACCCCCGGATCATTGCGTTCCATGACACAAGGTTTCTGACCGGCATCTCGTCAAACATCTTCCTCGCCAACGGCAACAGCCCATGTCTTGCAAACTCTGTCACCATCAAGTTCCATGTGACGACGTTCCTCCCAATGGCTGGCATCCGATCAAACATCTCCTCGCTACATCCAGTTCCCCAGCAGCCGCATAAGCTCCCACCATCGCGCTCCAGGATACGCCATTCCTATGAGGCATTTCGTCAAACACGCGCCTGGCATTCCCAATCTCCCCGCACTTCGCGTATCCAAAAACCACCGTGTTCCAGGACACCACGTCGGCGACTTCCGCGCACGACTCGAACACGCCCCGCATCGACGCCGTGTCGCGGAACGCGGCGTACATCGCGAGCAGAGAATTGACAACGAAGGTGTCGGCCAAGAACCCGCGCCGGGCAGCCTGGGCGTGCACCTGCGCGCCCGTGCGCTGGAAAGAGGGGAGCCGGGAAGCGGACTTCACCAGTGGAGGGAAGGTGAAGTGGTCGGGGAGGTATCCGGACCGGAGGAGGGAGGAGAATGCGGCGAAGGAGAGTCGCGGGGAGGGGGACGCGGCGGAGGCGCGGATGAGCAGGTTGTGGAGGAAGGTGGCGGAGGAGGGGAAGAGCGGGAAGTAGAGGCTGGAGAGGGCGGCGGCGAGGTTGGGGTGCGAAGGAAGGTGGGGTATGATGCGGCGGAGGTGATCCGGGCTCCGGCGTATCTCGCCGCCGACGAGGAGGCGGCCGAGGAGCGGGAGGAGGCGAGGTGGCGCCGGCATTTCCCTTTTCGCCGAGGACGGGGAGTGTTGCGAATTTTTTTTAAATAATATTTTTTCACCAATAATTACAAATCTAGAAGCTGTTATACAAAAATTATAGATATAGCATCATGTCGGCCATCGGAAAGCTGCCGACAGGTCCCATGTCGCACCTCAACAGACGATAGGGGTGACGTGGCAGCCGACGCTGGCCTGCCGATGCTGATAGCAGACTTATCGGCATCCGGAAAGGCCGACAGGCCCTATCGGCTTTGGAGAGGTCTGTCTCCGGCACTCACTTATACTATTTCATGCTTTATGACCCGATATGAGCTCTTTTCCAAACAAAACCATCACCCAACAGAAAACTAACTTTATCATTGCAGCACTAAAAATATTTGCTCTCCTTTTCCAGGCATATAAACATATGCACCATAACCTAAGGAACCTTACAAAATTTTAAAGGCAAACTCATTCTAATATTAAACCAGCGCGGTACATGGACCAAACCTGTAATACTAAATTGCATGTGTGAAACTATATGTAGCTAAGGTAAGTAGTCTCACCACTAATCCTAACATGTCTTAGGGAAAGTAAACAAAACACGACTTGCAATGGCATGTGTGAAACTCTATACTTATAATGTTCAGAGGTCCACCACTAGTCCTAACATGCCTTAGGAAATTTAACTTGTTGAGTCTGTTACATTGTTCTACTGGGTGCAGCGTGGTTGTTTCCCTTTTCTGTCACACCCTGAAGATGGTTCCGCTGCATCCTTCTTGTTCTTCAGAGCTACCTCCTGGATTTTGAACTCTTGCTCCTAACGCTTGATGGCTGCTTCACGCATACTTAACTGCTCCCTCCTCCTAGCAAGGTCATCCTCCTTCCCCTTCAGACGGATTTGGTCGACCCTAACGCGGCGCTCTTGCTCCTCCCTAATTTTGTGGACCATCTCGCGCTCCTGAGTCATCTTCACGTAGTATTGGCCTTTGGTTTCCACCTCCTGTGGGAGATTTCCTGGTCATGCTGGAAACTTTTGATCCACCCATTGAACCCACTTACAAGGCTACATGTGTAGTGGTAGATGTGATGATTTAGGTTGACAAAAGATAACGAGAATTTAAAGGAAAATTTTGTTGTCGTTCTTACCATGAAGTCGTTATCCAGATCAGGGCACGTGAAGTACCTACAACCGTAGTGACTAACTTCAAACGACACGGACAGGATCGTCCTAAATTCGCAATGGCACTTTGGTCGCTCACGCCACTCCGGGAGTTGAGTTGGGTCGGTCCTACAGGACGACATTGTTTCTTAGTTGAATGGGGAGGGGGGGCGGAGAAGATGTGGTGTGGTGAACACATACGAGGCCTTTTATACAACATGTTTGTGTGGTGTAGTGGACTTAGTCCATATTGATAACGATCATGTTGGGTTGTATGCTTTGGTCGAGTGCAGAAAAAGAAGAGAGCGTGCCAGCTTACATGCTTTGGTCGGGTGCAGGAAAAAGAGGAGACCGTGCAGGCGCACATGCGAGAGAGAAAAGGGGAGAAAGGGAGACTGCGCGAGAACGTACTGGCTCAGTGGAGCACTAGCAGACGAGCAAAGTGTGCTCTTTAGCAGCACCATCATTCGAGCAATCAAAGCGCAATGGTAGAACGTAGCATTTTCAGAGATTGGTAGAACGTAGCCTTTTTTGTCCTTTGCATAAAATATTATGTTCCACGAAATAAGTGATACAACATAGCCTTCTCATACTACGGATTCAAACAACAAGGTACATTGCAGGAATTACAAACACACAAACTACCGACTCTGCTTCTCCATCCTCTATCATGTTCTGAACTGTCTGAGGATCGGAAACATAGGTTTGCTCAGCATTTGCGGCCTCTAAGTTGTCCTCTACTACACCTGTGTTGCTACTCTCACCCTGCATGCCACCATCCAGAAATTCAACAAGCATGGTGTTGTAATAACGACGCTCCAACGCCTTCGACACGAGAAAATGCCACTTCTTCGTGTTACTGGCCTCATACAGCTCCCACCTCCATCCATTGGCCCCGTTCGCTGGTCTGAACTTTGGCTGAAACTGGCTGAAAAATACTGTTCCGGCTAAATTGTTGTGAGAGAAAAACACTGTTCCGGCTAAAAAAACAAGCCGAACAAGCCAAACTTTAAGACAAGCGAACGGGGCCATTATCCCTCAATTTAGGCACAAACATACTAATCCTGAAACGATGCTGGGAGGGCGGAACACCCAAATATTCATGCAGCTAGGCTAAAACTTATTTGCGGCTATAATCTAGCGGTGAATTCAGTTCTGTGTCAAAGACCTGGAACTCACTAAGGTCTACCCCGCTGTCCGCATATCTGATTTCATCATCGTCATGGTAAATTCTGAAAGGAACTAAATTGGTTGACATTTCTGGTCGCATCGTGCAAAATATCGTGTCAGTTATATGAAGTACCATGCGAACTAAATAAAATAAACTAAAACAAAACTAACCCTAAGTAAATCGAACCCTACAGCCTCACTAAAAATAACTAACGATAGCTAAAACTAACCCTAAAAATCTAACTAAATATACTAATTAATCTAACATAATGTACGACTACAAACTAAATATACTAATTAATCTAACCCTAAAAAATTAATTAATCTAACCCTAAAAAAACTAACCCTAATGTATGACTACAAACTAAATATACTAATTAATCTAACCCTAACCATATCTAACTAAACAAACTAAACTAACAAATTCTAAATAAACTAACTAAAAAACTGAAATCTAAATTTACAAAAAAAAACCTTGCATAGCGCCATGAGGCGGCAGTGGCGCTAAGGCGAGGGTGGAGGGCGGTGGCACGCCCTCCGCCGGATTCGGCATTCTATTTGGCCTTGAGGAGGCCCATGCTGCATGCAGCAAGGCGGGCGCAAAGGGTGGCCGACGGCAACGCGGTGAGAGAGAGAGAGAGAGAGCGCGAGCGAGAGGGGAGGAGGAAGACGCGAAGACGTCGGCTAGATATTTTAGGACCTATCGGCCAGCGGAGAGCTGATAGGACCTTATCGGTCCCCGTGCGGCCGATAGGCCTATTGACCCGATATGGCCCACTTTGTCGGCGCCCCAGAAGCCGATAGTCATCCAGTCGGGTATCCAGTGGCCGACAGGCTACTAGATTTGCAATTCTTTTTAATCAAATACTACATTTGCAATTAATCATTAAAAATATTATGTTAAAAAAATTCGAGTGTTGTTGGTTCGAATACTTTGAAAGCTTATCTCGATCGGCATCGGACGGCTGAGATCGCGGTATAGATTATAAAGAATTCATACATTTTAAATTGAAGTGGCCAGACGAATTCATAGTTTTTAAAGAAGGTTTTTGAATGGGACTCAGAGAATCATTCAAAATAATTTTTAACTGATCGGTGAGACAGCGATCAATCAAATTCAAATTTTAATTTGATCAATCAAATCCAAAATTAATTTGAAGTTTACAGCTGAAAGCGACAGAAATACAAGAGAGGGATTTGCTTCTTCCTCTCATGTCTTCTCCTTCCTTCCTCCCTCCTCCCTCCTCCCTCTTCTTCTTCCATAAAAATGGAGGCGCTCAAGGGGTACTCAATTGCGCAGGAGAAGATAGGGCAAAATCTGCTCTGCTAAAAAGGCACAACATAATTGTAGCAACAGAAGAAACAACGCAGCTCAGCATGGAACAATAATCCTGGATATCTATAATAGCAGGGCAAAAATCCTCCTGAAAATAGGAGCAAGATATAACTGATTTACATACTTCAACATTTCAACTATAAAAGTGTAAGCTACTTATCCCGTTTGACAATGGCAACAGACATATATTCTGCTGGGAGGGTTTGGTCTATCGATATTGCAGGAGGAAGGAAAAATAATTCATACTTATTTACTATGTTAGATGGATGCTAAATTCTGTCCCAACCCCAATTATGTTCACTTTTCAATGTTCGCTGCTGACAAGCTTCAGTTCAGAGTTTGATTGCCTTCGCTTTCATGCTGGCCATACCGTCCAGCACACCTGGTGGCACTGTATCTTCCGCCATAGTTGATCACTTGTGAGGCTTCCTCCTTGCGTAGGTGTAAGCAAATTGACGAGTCTCGTCGGTTTCAGTAACAGGCTTGGCAGGAGGTGGCTCCAGCTTCGTGCCATCATGGTGCTTACGCATGGTTTCCAGCTGCTCTGAGACATTGTTTTGAGGTGGGTATATCCTTGTGCCAAGGCTCAACATCTCTGAGATACTTTCAGCATTTCTTAAACTGTGCATTGTGGAGTATCCATTCATTTGATGACCATCCCTGACTCTTGCATATGGATCAGGAGAACTTTGATGGACTATGATGTTTTGACCACCGAAGTTCTTCAGAAGGTCTTTCATGTGGGCGCATTCTCTGATGTCACATGCTTCACTGGAATATGCTAGACTATGGTTAGCTGCTGGTTGATAGAAGCCTCTTAACATCATGGAAGGGTAAACTGCACTGCGCTCCTCTGGAACTGTCATTTGGACTCCAAGTGGGATTTTGCCCATCAGTGCATAAGGTTCCAGTGTACCCTGCCATTGTAAGGGAGTACATTGTGAACTAGCAGATGTGCCATTGATTCTGTTGGTGTGAGAAGATGAATGCTCGGAAAAACCATGAACATCGTGTGCAAAAACAAGAGGTGGAGTGCAAAATCTGGAGCTCTGTGTTCCTGGCTGATCAGCTCGAACCAGTCCATGTCTATGATGTGTCCCTTCACTGCCATCAATAACAGAAGCACAACCAGTCCTTATTTTCAGCACACCTTTTGGTAGTTTACTACAATTTTGCCTGGGATCACTGAGAGAATGGAAGGTTTGACTTTCCAACGAGTTCATTTCTGCTGATTTGGCTACATGGGCTATTTCATTATGTCTGGTTGAACAATGAGTGCTTAATGGACCATCCCTAAGTTTGGCTCGTTTCATTGGTGATGAAACAGTGGCAATTTCATCCTTGATAGTAACT